TGTCTTTTCCACTGCTGCAAATGCCAGAGTTGGTAAAGTTGGAACTGTGGTGTGGATTGGCTTGCAAGTTATCATTAAGTTATCAAATGAATAGATTTATTTATCAGAATAAATCAGGCTTCCCATCAGCAGGGACAAAGGGGAGACATCCCTCAAGCAGCCAGTCACTAGTCACCCAGCCTCTGCTGGCCAGTGCCACGGGGACCAAGTCTTTCATTCATCCACTGATATGCTTCATATTTATAAAGTGCAATTAGTCTCCAAGGGTCTTCCAATAAAATTGATTTTGCATAAAGTTATATCATAAACAGGGTAGAACAAATAAGGAGGGAATAAATACAAATACTATATGTGACACTCTAAAGCTGGCCTTTCCAAATTAGGTGTAAGGTTTAAGACAGATAAGAAATCATAGATATTTAAATGTTCGCTGTATGCATAAAAGTTAATGTCGTTTGTGATGGATTACTTTAGTGGTTGTTTTACAGTCACTGTACTTTCAGGAAACCTGTTTTCTTAATATGGCTTCTTGCTGCCTAGTCAGGAAAATGGAGCAGTAACAGACATAACAGATATGTGTAATTGTGATTTTCTTTTCATTTCAAAATTTAGCAAAAATCAAGACAAGAAATGCTGTAACTCAGTCAATTGACAGTATGTTTCCAGCAGACATAGCCTTCACTCTATGTCTGGCATAACTGGTATCTATCAACTCAGATTTTGTATTGTAACTTATACCTAAACGTTTCTGCCAATTTCTCCTTCTTTGACATTGTCAGAAAGTGCTTTGTCTAAAATATCCCAAAATTCTGCCTACTGACTTCTATGGTGTGTGTTTGTTTCAATAAACCTAAATATGTCCAGAGCACAAAAGTACCCCAGAATCTCCACTGGAATAGTTGTACTTTTATACCCCAAACAATAGGACCCAAACAAATATTCAAAAATAGCTTCAGTACAGAACATACAGGTGTTTGTTTAAAGCTAAAAACTTTAGCTAAAATCTCTGGGAAACAAAAATCCATAGAGGGAAAGCTTTACTGTGATTTGTTAAAGTTAGTAGGGCAAACTATTGTTCTGCAGGGAAAAAGTCAATGGATTGAGAATTGTCACACATTTTTCTTGTTTTGTATAGCTTCTGGAAGAATTAAAACTGAAATTTCCTGTATTTGCTGAAAGCCATTCTTACACTGATTGAACTTCTCAGCAGAAAAAATCAGTCAGAACAAAGGCTTTTCATATGTACCATTTTTTTTGCCCAAGACAATTTTGTCTGGGGTCAAAAATAACTCCAAATGTGAATAATGCTTGTTTTCTGTTAATGCAGAATAAACCGCTTAGCCTATATTTAATGGCATCTCAAGATCTTGCAGTAAAACACCATGATAATTTTTCAGAAATAGCCTAATGCACAAAGACTCCCTTGGCACACTTTTTTCTAGAGTACAGAAGTTTGTAGAAGTTTCTCTTGATGAATCAAACCCCGCTGTAGAAGGCAGCAAAGGAAGTGAATGATGGAGGATCTCTTCTTAACGCAGCCCTAAACAGATGGCAAGAAGAAACAGCAGAGCATGCACAGGATAGATGGTTGAGGTTTCCTCATGAAGCCACCCTAGAAAGACCTCGGTGGGAGATCATCCCGTAGGGTACAGGCTTTCTAAAGAAGTGCATGTGTGTTGAGGACACACTTGTGTGTGGACACACCAGCTGCATCAAAGGGAGGGTCTGGAAAAATAATAGTTGTTAATTTATTTGAGGCAATAAGACTGCTTGAATCCACTTCTGGTTGCTGGGAGTAAGGGGCAGGATAGCTGATTATGTATCACCAAAACGAGGAAAGGCCAATTACTTCAGCAATCTCTGTGATGGTTAGTAATTTAGGCATGTGTATAAGTATGATTAAGGACAATATTTATGATGCACTGCTTAGCCTTGGTGCTTGAAACTGGTCTGCAAGTTTGTAACTCGTGATTTGCTACTTCCACAGATGGGGCACATGGTGTGACTTTGATCAGTCTTAACTGGACTTTTGCTGTTTTGGACAGTTCTCTTTGATCTCCTGACACGTTTCTTCCACCAGTGAAAATAATGCACAAACTACATTCATGCTCAAACAGAACAATTTTTATTTTATTTTTTAAGAGAAAGGTATTATACACAGTCTCTGGGGTCATGGGAGGAGAACTGGGCACTAATTCTTTCCCTAGAAGGAACACCTTGGGATCCATAGAGTGCTACAATATGGACAACAGCCATGAATCCGCAGGATTACTGTAGGAAAAGGAAGCATGGTTGTCCCACTGGACCTCTGCTGAGGGCATTACCCTGGAGATTTGATCTGTACCACAAGGGTGTCCTAGCCTCATTGCAGGACTTGCCCTGTGTAGAGTGGAAATGTATAGAGACCCAACACGCAAAGTGTTCTCATACAGCAGAATGTACTGTGCCACTCAGGTACAGCAAAGCTCAAGAACTGGTTCAACCATGATGCATCTCAAACAGGCAAATAGGTGGAACCTCTGCTGCTCTTGGGCTTGTCGTACAAGCTGTTCCCCTGAACCTCTGGCTCTCATTCTCCACCCATAGATAACAAGGCCTATGTTTTCAGCATGCTGGGAGAAATGAAGTCACCCCTTGCTTTACACATAGAACATTTCATTTTCATGACATTTTCCCATTTCTCAGGTTGCTTCCTTCATTTGAATAAGAGATATTGCCACCCTTTAATAGATGCGCTCATTAATGATTTCCTAGTACTCAAAATACCCTCCTTGCCAGCATTATCAGACATAACACCTATAAACGTGGCTTTCCACTCTGTTTCTTTCTGCCTCCCATTCAGCTTCTTTCAATTCCCTCCCTGCCTCTCTCCTTTCCTTCCTTCCCCCTTCCCATCCATCTCTGTTCCTCTTATCACATCCATCTCCTTCTCTGACAGTTCCTCACTTTCACGCTATCTGTTCTCTCTCTTACAATATTTGTCTCACATAAAAATTAATGTCTTCCATTTCTTTCAAATGCATTCAGTTCAAGCCTGGTTCACACTATTGCCAGAGTGCAGAATGGCTTATTGTGTGAACCAGTCCAAAGGCAAATATTCACATTTAAACACCAAAACTAAGTTAGCATACCAGCAAAATCTGACTTCTTTCCACAGAAGATAGTAACCTATGATTGTCTCTTTTTTTCTAGGAGCCTTTTAAGTCACATACTCTCTTGTTCAACTGCAACTTTTTTGAGGTGATCTTGCCAGAAATGGTACAAGTACTTATTGTACACAATTTGGCCTTTTTAGGACTGACTTTGAAAGCATTCTTGAATTGTCCAGTTCTTGAAGGCAGATTGTATTTCTCCCAACTTCATCCAACAATATCAAGGTAGATTAGAATAAGCTGCTCTCTGTTTCCATGTAGCACCCTGTGAGGTAGGTTAGGCTGAGTCAGGAACTTGCCTTGGGCTTCAGTGCTAACCCAAATATTCCACTCAAGCCATATTTTCAGAAGTGAGCTTACTGCCAGTATTCCTCTTTGGTTCTTTGCTGGGATACCCAGTTTAAAATATCAGTGGCTGATTTTCAAATGCACTGAACCCAGAAGCAAGGATAAAGATTCCAATACCTCTCACATATGGGCAGATGATATTCCATATGCTCCCTAACAGAGAGGGCCTTGATATAAAGTTGGCATGCTTACAGCCTTGCAGTTCAGTTTTCTGAGGTTTGCTTGTGTTTCCATCTCAGTTCTAAAGAACTAACTTCATCCAGTCATTACTAGTAACAAAACACCAATCTTGGTAGCTGACTTGGTAGGGCCCAAAGGATTTCAAGGAGGAAAAATAAGTTCTACAGATCAGCACTGAGATGTGGTGGAGTATGATACAGGTAAGAATACCCGTGTTTCCGGCAGGGCATGCTCACTTCCTCGTACCTGGATAACACTAGTTGGTGTTGTACTGGATGACATGGTACTAAAAAAGGTATTAATGCTGCCACACAGACACTTGTGCCCATATCATGAGGGAGGGCAATGTAGACAAAGCAAGCCCAGAAAGGCATGGGTGAAGCTGCCATTATGGTTAAATACTCAATTTAGACTGGACATGAAACATGCAGAATTTATGTTCACAAGGGATGATGTTTGAAGTAATCCATTGACTATATTCACCTGGAAAGGTTACATTGGAACAGACAGGCATGTAGCTTTTCCAGGCAGAATCCTTTCTGCAAGACTCCACATTCCTGTTGGAATATTCTTCAAGATCCCCCTATCTCAACAAATCCATCCAATACATTTTCCACATGTGTAGACTCGGGACCACTTCAAACAAGTCATCCCATAGGGTCCAAAGGTTGCTTGAGAATCAGCCCTTTTGGAATCTTAAGGATTTCTCTGTGTCATTTTGTGAGGAAGCCTTTTGTCTTGTTAAGAGTGTGCACACAACCAATATTCCATCACACAATGCCCCCCTCCTCCGCTGTATTTTGAGGGCTTCCTTCCTTTTTAAGCAGGACTGCGGAAACATTTGAGTGATGCTTTCACGTGAACAGGCCACATTATCATGATCTGCAGTCAACCTGGAGAAATCCCTTTATCCTTAACTATGTCTTGAAAAAGGGATATGACCCCCCCCCAAAGTTATAGTTCAAGTTTTAAATCAAGGTTTAATATGATGTGAATTACGAAGCCTTTGAAAGGGCCTAGCAACTGGCCATACTGCAGGGAATCTAAACTAGTAAAGTTGATTGCTCGTTAACACTGAACTCAGTTTGTGAAGCAGTAAACTGTTCCAGTTGCTTAAAGGCTGCATAGACTATCAGGTATCCTGGTGCGTCCACAGTTCAACTTCCTGTTTCCCAGGCAAGATCTACCTTTACCCAAACAGAACTAGAGCTCCACGTCACCTGGGCTTACACCATTCGCCTTGTTGGAGCCATTAATTAGTCGCTTTGACCCTACACAAAAAGGTCTGAGGCTCAGTCCAGCTTATGGGCCAAACCAGCTTCAGACAAAGCAGAAGAACTTCTTCCATCGGCATTTGGAGAGGGTTTTGATTCCTTTGGCTGTCATTTTTTTTTCCTGTTGGGCCTTGTGCTCGACGGCACTGACAATGGCTGTGTCAAAAACCTCCTTCAGGTTTTTTTGAGTCAGAGCAGAACACTCTACGTAAGTCTGAGCCCGGATCTTCTCAGCGAGGCCTTCAGCCTGAGTTCGTGGCACAGGCTTCACGTTGTAGTGGTCCAGATTGATCAGCACATTGACATCATCCCGCAGGTCAGCCTGTGTCCCCACCAGCACCACCGGAGTCTGGGGGTTGTGAGTTCGTATTTCAGGGACCCATTTCTCTGTAATGTTTTGGAAGGATGTGGGATTCACAACGCTGAAGCAGACCAGGAAGACATCGGTGTCGGGGTAACAGAGCAAGCGGAGGCAATCAAAGTCTTCCTGTAGAGAAAGGAGAGAGATGTGGAGGTCAGTTTGTGATGGACCACTGCAACAGTAACAACAGTTAGTGGGCCCTGCGAAAATATCCCCACGCCATCTTTTCCACAAAGCCCTGAAGCAGGAGGACAGCCAGAAACCCTCTCAGAGACTAGCAGCAGTCTGGGCCTCCCGTGTGTCGCTAAGAGGAAGCAATGATACCTTGGCCACTCATCCCAACACCTGGTACAGGATCAGTTGAAACAATGGAAATGAGGGGAATTTAAAAGAGGGATCTCAGGCAAACAAGCAACTGTTGTGGTTTATCTGTTGAATCAGTTCTTTAAAAAAATATATCTTTGCCTTGCTGTTAGGTTCTACCTTGATTTTGCTTCTATTTTATATTGCAGTTTTAAATTTTTAAACTTCATATCATAATATTTCAATTTATATATCAAAATCCATCTCTAAGCTGGTTTACAAAACTCATACATTGAAATATATCATGGTAAACACAAAAACTCATCCATTAAAACAGTTTCAATCCTTAAAATCAAAGCTAAAATACCACAATTAATAAGCAAACTAATTGGATGACACAATTGCTCAGGAAAGGCTTTGGAAAACACTGGTAAAACACTGATATGCAATACAAAGTTGAAAAGATTTCCAGGCCCATTCTAAGGATTACTGGGGAGATATATTTGAAATACAATCAGATACAGTGCTTGAACTATACTAGATAAGAGCACTCATTTATTTGTTAACTAATATCTATATTATTTCACTCTTTTTCCTGGATTTCCATCACCTGCTCCAGGACTTCAAACTTGCCATGACATTGGAAGCAGAACCTGAAGCTTTCATTTAAGGGCCTTACCTGCCCTGCGGTGTCCCACAGCTGGATGCGAACCGGTGCACCATCGACCAGGACCTGCACTGCAAAGACAGAGAGAGAAGGGCTGGATGAGTGAGTGAATGCTTCGTATTGTTCATTTACAAACATCAGCATCTCTCTTACTTGTTTGTATGTTTTATTTAATTTCTATACTGCCCAATAGGTGAAACTCTCTGGATGGCTTACAACAATTCATAAAATAAAACACAGTATAAAATACAAATACTGTACCCAATAAAGCATCCTAAATGTCATAGCCAAACATTAAAATGAAATTTCAAAGAGAGTATGAAAACTTAAATAACTATGGCAAGTTAATACAAGTAGACCTGTTAAAAGAGCTGGTATAACTAGGAGCCCTTTAATTTGGGGAAGTCACACAGGGTCACACAAAGTGCCCAGATTGGCCTTTCCTGGCTGCAATTGACAATGTCCAGGATTGAGGAAATGATACACTCAGACACTTCAAAAGAGAGTTGGGTGCGCCCAGTTCACACAGTCTATATGTGCCAACAAGTTTAACTGACATGATCCATTGCTCCTGCCGACCCATCCGCATCATGAACAGGCAACTGGGAGATCAGCCTAAGCTGTGCAGTCTGCATGGCCAGAGACCAGTTGGGAATGCATAGAGCAGCTTTTCCAGGTCTTGCCACATGGACTCTCCATGCAGCCAGCAGTGCTAATGCTTTGACCCAAAAGCAGAGAATGCTGCCATGCACGTTGTCCACAGAGATCGTAGAGGGACTGTGAATCTTTGGGCTGCATTCCTAACCACAGAGGGGCAGGCAGTGCAGTTCTGTCCACACCAGTTAGGTGAGATTGCAAGCCCTCTTTCCAAAGTCCGAGCACTGTCTCTGTGATCTGGAAATCTGAAGCATCGTATGTTCCCTCAGCTGCTTTCTAGGGAGCCATAGGATGCTGCCTTAATGTGCTTTATCATTGTTTTATTGCATCTCTTCTTTATTATCATCCTGAGAGCTCTGGCTGTAGGGCAACTCATAAACAGCACGAATGAACAATAATGAACAATTTAGCTGTCCATTATTTTTTATTTCCTATGCGGAAGTGCCCTGTCAAAAAACAGCTGTTGGAAAGGCAAGCCTTGTGACTGAAGTTCAGAACTACTCCTTCACTGCCACACTAATGAGTTCTGTACAGTGAAACTGCACCAGTGCTGAATAAAACAGGCGATGTTTGCAACAGCACTATTGCCTAGTTGCAAGGAACCCTGAGTGTTACAACGCACACATGCACACACACCAAACCAGAGGTCAGGAATGCAAACGAATAGCCCTCCCTTAGGGGCTTCATCTTTTGTTCACCTTAGTTAAGCCAGTACAAAGCCCCTAGTGGCACTAAGACCTGTGACTTAATACCTCTGCAAGCAGAGGATTACTACGTATTATGTGAACAGAAATCCTCCAAGCTCCACCAGCTTCTCTAAAGCAATATCCACACAGTTCCAGGATGGCTGGAGCAGGGGTTGGCCCTGGAGCTAGAAGGGAAAATTACTCTCCATACTGTGACTAAACTGCCATTAACTCAAAGCGAAACCAGCCTGCAGCTTTAGGACAGCAACTAGCCTGTCCGCCTTTTCTCCGCCATCAGCGTGTCAGCGGAGGACAGAAGAATACCAATTTTATTGTGCAATAGATATGTATTATACACACTGAAAATTGACTATTAATATTTAAATAGAGGTGCAGCATACTTTACCCCAGTGGGGAAGAGTGATTGGGTGCCTGGGCACTTGCCTACTCTGCTGTGTGGGTGGTAACCGCAAGACGGGATGGCCCATCAAGCACAGGCTCCTTCAAATTCAGGACGGTACTCTCCAAAGAGAGGATACTCCTCTGTAAGCAAGGATATCTGGCCCAGGGGAGGAATTCTAACTCAAGAAGGAAGTTGTCTTGGCCCCAGATGGCACCATGTTATGCTCTTTTCTTACCACTAAATGACTTGTTTATCTATTCTTCACTGAAGTGAATGGAACCATCAATTCAGAAATTTAACCCAACACATTACTTCAACTTGTGGCTTCTTATGGAAAATCATTCATAATTATGTAAGCTGAGAAGTGAGCCAACACACACACAACCCTAAATCTGAGGTATTCTGGAGCCCTATTTAACCATCTTTATATATTTTACTTATGCTATAATACAAAACTATGTCAAATTACTTTTTACATGTTTATATTATTTTCTGTTAACCTGATACAAGTCTAAATACTGGGACCCCAGGGTGGCAATGGCCTTATAGGCCCCTTCCAACTCTTGCTATTCTGTGACAACAATCAGGTATCCTGGGCCTACCCTTTAACACATCTAGGCATGCTGGGCCCACCTGACTCTGGATCCCTCCCTAATCTAGACCAAACCTATGTTTGATACAAGACTTTCCAGAGCTATGCCATTCCCTACAGATGGCCATCCAACTTTCTCTTTAAAGACCCCTTGCAAAGGAACACCACCCTCTCTGTAGTCAGATCTCATTGAGAATACTGTGTCTAGTTATGGGCACCAGAAAAATTTAAGAAAGATGCAGAAAAATTAGAAAGCATCCAGAGAAGGGCAACAAAAATGTTCCAGGATTTGGAAACACTGCCCTGTGAGGAGAGAATGAGAGACCTGAACATGTTCAGCCTTGAGAAGAGAAGACTGAGGGGGAACATGGTATCCTACTATAAGTGCGAGTACCTCAGAGGCTTCTCACTGATACCAGAGTGTAAGACACAAAATAATCAGCTCAAGTTGGGACAACCCAGATTCAGGATGGGTATCAGGGGAAGCTTCCTGACTGTCAGAGCAATACAATGGTGGAACCAGTTGCCTAGAGAGGTGGTGGGCTCTCCCACACTAGAGCCATTCAAGGAGAAACTGGACAGCCATTTGAGTGGGATGGTGTAAATTGGTGGCCTGCAAGCAGCAGGTGTTGGACCTGGTGGCCTTCTTCGTCCCTTTCTACTCTATCATTCTATGATTCTAATTGATCCAACTGCCTACCATCAAGCCACTTCTCCTAATATTCAGCCATAAACTGCTCTCCATTAATTCAAGCCTCTTAGATCTTGCCTTGCCTTGCCTTGCCTTGCCTTGCCTTGCGGGGGCAGCACAGAACAAGTCTTTGGCCCCTTCCTTGTGACAGTCCTTTAGGCGTTCGAAGAGTGCTGTGCTGTTCCTCCTAGGCTTGCTTTCTTCCAGGTGAAACACACCCAGTAGTTCAGCCTGCATGGGGTTGCAGGGTAGATGCTCAAGAGTAGGCCTTGGGACCCCCTGAAAGGCACTGGGAGAAAGCAAAACAACGTAGCAAGCCACTGCCACCAGCTTTGTGTAGGGGCATGCAGAGCAAGCATACAAGCCAGTCAGTGGCTTGAGCTTTCATGCAAATCGGGGCTTGACAACTGTGTGATAAAAATGCATAAATCAAATCAAATTGCGTCATTAGCATGAGTGTGTCACAGGAAAGGAGACATTCTGTGCTTTAGGTGACAACAGCCCATACTTAACACCTACTAGTGATATTGCCACCTTTCCTTTACTCAGCCTGGCTGTGTACAGGTTCTTTATTTTGTAGGAAGACTAAGTTAATCTTTTCTCAGGCTTTAGGTCATTAGCAGATGAATGACAAGAGCTACAAACAACCAACTTCAGAGACTGTAGTAATTTACTGGGTGAAATAAGGTTGTGCTTCCTCGGGGCATTTAGCAGGCCTCTTCATGCCTCAGCCTTTGTTGGATACACCCCAAAGCCTTTCTTCAATGGCAATAGAAAAACATCCCAACTACTCTATACTAGACTGATGCTTTTGAATATTCAACCTTTAAAAAGAGGGGAAAGGCTAGATGTGAAATCCCACTGGAAAAGGGGGGCTGAACAACATTCCATTATAAATAAGGGTGCAATCCTATGCATTGTTCAGACAGGAAAAAGTCCCAGTGTTCCTCCAGCCAGCCATAAAATAATGCGAACAAAAGTTCACAAAAGGGGTGAACCCACCTCTGTGATGACTGCACAGCCACTGCCAGACATATACTGGCCATATACGGCTTGGGTCCTGGCTACCTGAAGGAGTGCTTACGTCCATATACGCCCCCCCCCCCCCCCCCCGAGATCTGCGGGAGAGGCCCTTCTCCGGGAACCCTCCGTGAAGGAAATTAGGAGGGTAGGTACTCAGAGGAGGGCTTTCTCAGCGGTGGTGCTCAATCTATGGAATGTGCTCTCCAGAGAGGTCCGCCAGGTGCCGTCGTTATTTGTTTTTCGGCACCAGGCGAAGACCTTTTTATTCAAACGTCATTTTAATTGCTAATATTATTTGCTTAATTCTTTGGCCAGGGCGACTTATTTTATAATGTTAATGTGTTTTATATTTTTAGTGTTTTATATTTTAACTGATGTTTTGTAAGCCGCCCCAAGGCTTCGGCGAATGGGGCAGCATAGACTTTTTTAAATAAATAAATACCCAGCCAGATGACCGCTGCCTATTTGCTGTCCTGGACACCCACCTGGAGGGTAGGGTGGCCTTTGGGCAATGGCAGACTTTGGGCCTAGCCCCATGTGGCCTCACAACCCCCTCACAAAATCCTCTGAACCCTCCTCAGAAAGAAGAGGTAGTCCTGTAATTGTTTGACCCTTTATTTAAAAAATACAGCTACACTAGATTTGTATGATCAGGGTTTACATGGCATCCAAAGAATAAAAATGAACATCAGTTCAACATACGCATGCGCATTTGTTTAGGAACAACATGGGAGAGGCTGTCAGGACATCCCACATCACAACCCACCAAAGTCCACTGACACTGTCTTCTAAGGCACAACAGTAGAAGTAGTGAATGTAGCATCTCAATAATCACAACGATATTTTCCCAGGTACAAAATCTTGCACTTTAAGTAAGTAGAAGACTTAGGAACATAAGAACTGTGCTGGATCGTGGTGAGGATCCACCTAGCCCAGCATTCTGTTCACACAGTGGCCACAGGAAACTCATGAACAGGACAAGACTGCAGCAACCTACCCATGTTCCCCAGCGATTGGTT